GCTATGTCTTTCGTACAGTTCTTAGGCAGTGCACTGTACACGGGGATGAAATACTGCCAATAGTCCACAATTGCTTGCACAGGTGCGCTGCTTGACACGGCCGCGAACAGGAGATTTGGATATTTGCTTTTGAGATACGCGGCGCGTACACCCGGATAGCTGATGCCCAAGTGAACCCAGGGCGCATGCGGCGCGTTCACCCATTCGATCGCAGGTATTTTAAGTGTGGTCATAAAGTAGACTAAATCCTCGATGTTCTGATCGAGCGTGTGAAAGCGCAAACTGTCTGTGGACAAATCGGCGAATGGCTGCGACTTGCCGAAGTAACGGTGCTCCATGATGATGAGGAGACCGTTCGTTGCCTTTGCGTACTCACCAGCACCCCCATAAGTATTAGTTAGGACGCTGAGATATCTATCGGCGGCTCCCTCACCAGTGTCATACAGAAAAATGGGGCCTAGAGAATGCGAAATATTTTCTGAAGTTGAATGCTGCTGGTAATGCACTTACCTCCTGCTTTATACCATTCCGCGTTGTACCAATAACGTTGTTTGAATGTGCTTTTGTTCTTGCCAAAATGATCAACACGCTGTAGAAAATACTGCACGGGGAAGACAGCCGAGGTACGCGAAAAGGAGATGCCGTGCTGTTGCCGCTGCCTGTTGATACCGTGCATTATCTTGTAAATTTGGCTAGGATATAACGCATTCACTGGAAAACTATGGGCGACGAACAGAGCGATCAATGAGGGAAGAAGAAAATGCATGCTTTTATGGGGCGCGCGAGTTGATAATCGCACAGCCACCGAGAGAGGGATAAAGCGCAAACTAATGATGTTCCCACACGACGCATAAACCTCAATCACCGTTTCACATGAGCGACTTTCGCAACGGAGAGAAAAAGGTAGTGCGACAACCATTATGGATGATATAGTATGATAAGGAATGAGCCTTGCCCGTTTCCTGTTTCGTTTCCTCATATTCATTCGGCGTGTACGTCTTTTGTGTGAAAGCTTGGATTCTGACCATTTCATTTGAGCAAGTCATTCACCATTCTGTAAGAAAGATGTAAAAGAGGACCTTACTGCCACTCCGGTCTTATAGCCCGAACGGGATATATATCCGATGAGGATATACATCCCTTTCGGAATATAAAAATATATCCTGATCAGGATATATATCCCGTTCGGGCTATAGTATATATCCTCTTCAGGAGCCCGATCAAGATATATTTTCATATCCCGATCAGACTGTTTTCTATATGCCCACCAGAATTTAAAAAATCATGACGGTAGACTTTTAAACTGAGACTAGT